ATGTCGAGATTTCCGTGATTCTTGGGTAGGCCGTCAAATTACACTTCTACCTTTTACAAATTGAACTTTCTCTAAATTGCCATCGCGCTTACTAAAACTTCTGTCCTTTTAAAGGCTATCTTATTTGCATCTACACCTTCGTTTCACTTCTTGGATTTGGGTTGGAAAAGATTTGCCATTAATCTTGGCCGTCAAAGAACACAGAGGTTATGTTAGAGAAAGGACGCGTGAGCCGTCACAATATTTATTTGCTCAAACTATTATAATTAGACATGCGTTTTTTACGATGTCTTGTAAACATTAGTACGAATTTTTTTTGGATCAATTACCTCAGTAAATTTTAACGTGTGTCCCTTTGGTAGCTCGAAAAATGTCTAAGTGGTATTCCACTTCCCACAAAATATTTTTTACGATGTCCTACACTTTATAAGTATACAACCTAAGCATTTTATGAATTCTTGCTAAACTTGTTTGCGATGTTTGAAGCTCACTTCATGCTTTGCAAGTTGATTTAGAACTCCGTTGAAACGATGCTACTTAGCCTTTGCAGAAGTCCCCAAACGTTTTTTATGGTGCCACCATCGAATGACGACCTCGTTACCAAATTTGGATGCTTGAATTCATTTTTTATGCCTTCGTTGGATGCTAAATTTTGCCGAGAGCCAATTGATACTCTTTTACGTGCCACATAATTATATTACATGCGATATTCGCATCCAAAAAATGTATCGACTGCAGCCTGGATCGAACTCGCATCCTTAGACTTACGAGGTGGGCACGCTATATCTCTAAGCCACCAAGCTGACTTGCGAATAATTTTTGCAAAAATTTTCGGTTACAAATCGAATTTTTATTTCGAGTATATTTATAATTTGTGTGTGTGTAAAAATGTGCTTACAAATCAATTGAATCCGTTGCATATATAAATTCCGTTTTCATAAATAAATATTAACAATTCACAATTTGCATGTTCGAAAATGGCTGCGTTTTTCGAAGAAAACCTTCTGCTAAAATGTTGCCAAAAACTCTCGTTTAAATACATTAGCTATTGAGATAGGGAAAAAAATTCAAATTAGCCAAACGATTCTTTAATGTGAATTTTTTTTTTTTTTGACTGTGCATGATATTACAAAAGGAAAAGTAATATTTTGCAACAAAATCATTCGAGTGAATGTTGAAAGGCAAAAGCAAAATAATTTTACATGAAACGTGCGTCAACAGCACTTAGAATAATTGAGAAATCTTTTCTTGGCCGCTCTGTTTTAATCACTTGGCGGCCCGAGTCAAATTACATTCCTCCCAGAGTATAAGCGCGCAAATAAAACATTAGTTTGTGGTTGCAGTTAAGTGCTGTTTCTCTTTTTTCCTGTAAAAGTGGGTAGAATTTCCGTGCACAAACAGCGAAAAGTAATTAAATCAGAGTTACATTTATATGAGTTGCTTTCTTTTGTTATGCATTTTATACGGGTTTATATATATATAACTCTTAACACACTTTAATGAAATTAAATTTTGTTTTCGGGCTTTCTGGGTTGCAAGTTAGGGCTATTTTAATACATATTTTATACCGTTTGAAACCACCCGGGCTTAAAACACATGCTTTTTCACCAACAGTCATTTAAATTGGATTAGAACTGAATAGTAATCAAGATATATATTTCGTCTTAAAAATTTGGCAATAAACCTTTATTAAACTTAGGTTATTTTGACGCAGATTAAATCATGAAATATAACCCAAGTATAAAATGCTGTCTCAATTGTTGAAAAGATTTCTGATTTTAAATATATATTCAGTGTATTTTTCAAATTAAAAAAAGTTTAATATATTTTTATTAAGTCAAATTCCCTTTTAAGTTATATCCAAAGAGAATAAAAAGCATTTTTTTAAACCCTATTTTTAAATAAGTTTCATACTTGGGGTATTCAATACGTGATTTGACAGCAAAATGAAATTTAAATGAATTTTAAATTACGTTTTATATTTCCATTGTTATAATAAATTTATCTTAAATAAGTTTGTGTAAATTAGAGAGAACAATTTATATTAAACTCTGCGTTTTAGCAATTGATATATATGTGTGCTGTTTCTTTTGCCACCTGTCAGACGGTGTCAGATCGAGGACGAAATTCATCGCGGCAAAGGGTTAGAGATTTGCGCCTGTCGTTAACCGTAGCTTTGAGCACCATACAGGTGACAGCACGATTTGGCTCGGTTCCACCTCTATTTTGAGGTAGGACATCCTGGGGGTAATCAGGGGCCCCCGATCTCTCTTGAAGTTCCACCGGCCTCACAAGAGGACTTGCAGTTCGGAGGCTATTTAGAATAACCCCATGCCGCAAAGGGTACAAACATCCATGCCCAATGGCACAGCAGTCAGCGTCACTAACCACTTTTCTGGAGGAGTGGCACATATATGTGGGAATATATTTTGAGTGTGGTTCGAAAGTCTTTATCAATCGTATGGCTTGTTACCTCATACGTATTGACGTTTTAAATTTCCTGAGGCTCTGGATCGCTTAACAAAAGTGTCCCTCTGCCGTGCGACCCTTTTAAATAACTACATACAGCATACTTGTAAAAGCGTAAAAATGTTGTTGTTATTGTTACTAATGCCACCTGATCGACAAAGGCTAGATCGATTCCCACGAGATTCATGTCAAAGGGCTAAGTGACGCCTGTCGTTAGCCGTAGCTTTGAGCACCATACAGGTGACAGTAAGATTTGGCTCGGTTCCACCCCAATGTAGAGGGAGAACACTCTGGGGATGGTCAGAGGCCTCCCACCTCTCTTCTCCTTCCACCCACCTCACGAGAGGACTTGCGGCTCGACGGCTATTTAGAGTCTAGAGCCGTAAAGGCACTATACATTTACAAACATCCCTGTCTTCTCCGGGATTCAAACCCAATCCCTACGGCACCGCTGTTAGTATCGCTAACCACTCTACCGATTGGGCGACGCGTAGAAAATACATGTGTATAATTCTTAATATCATAAACTAGGACACGACATAAAAACAGACTCGAACGATTGTCGCCTTCCCTATGCCTAGACACGGATGATGGACGTGATATAATAATGCACTGTTGCCAGCTGTCATAAGGTTCTAAATTCCCAGTTTTTTAGAGAATATGTTCAAAAATTGCTTTTGGAGATTAAAATTATTCGGATCATGATCTCATAAAGGCCGATTCGAGAACGAGACGAGAGATTCTGCCCCTGTCCGAGGCTAAGGCCCTAAACCAGCGTTACTCAACCTGCGGCCCACTGAGCCTTTTTAAGGGGTCCAGTCATGTCCATTGCTCTAAGAAATTTATTTATTTAAGAAAATTGTATTAAAAATTTGGTGAGAAATTCTTTGTCAAGAAGTCAAATATATCAATCTTGCTGTCTGTGTCGTACGGGTGCAAATTGATATTCTTTTTCTATTTGGAACGGTTATGGTTAGTGATAACAGGCAACAGTAGAGTAGCGAGAATTTTATGGATGGAACTCATTTTTGACTAACTTTCATATCTTGCAAGCTAAAAATATTCCAAAGAAATATATGTTTTCAAGACGATTGGGAGGGAGATTCTCGAAGATCTCTTTCCAGAGGGGATAAATAGGCTTTCTTGAATAATCTTTGCAACAGAGTGTTTTGTTAGTGGTAATATCACAGCGGTAACAGATACCGTATGAAGTTTGTTATATTATTAGTAATCGTATGAAACCGTTTACTGATGCAGAAATTTTGAAGGAATGTTTCTTAATTGCTTCCATTTTAATGTTAGTGATAAAAATAAAAAATAAAAACATAAAAAAACAATAATTAAAAAAAAGCAAAACAGGAGTTATAATATATACCACATTTTAAATTTCCAATGTTATCTGTTCTTAAAGCCTTTCTCCCCTATATCCTTATGTTCGTAAATAGCTGGGTTGAGTTGCCCTAGACTCCTGCATACGAAAAGACTTCGTTGATTAACTATATCTTTTCAATCAACCAATCATTCCAGCAAGAAATGTACGTGATTACCAGACACATATCTTTCTTTCTTACACCTTTTTCTAATGCAAACCCTTCAATAAAAACAACAACCCTTCCGCCGCTTCAATTCATTCTCATTCATCGTCCGTCCCAGTTAGTACCCACCGCGAGGAGATATTGCTCCATTCAAGGCAGACGTAACGGTTCTTGGAGGGCTTTACCAAAGCTGCAATATCCCCTTTGGTCTCCCTTTCTCCCTGTAGTTATGGCCCGGCCTGTGTGTTTCCGTTTCCGGTTGGACATTTTTTCCCCTTTGGAACGAATGACCATTGCTCGTTGCTATAAATCTGCTGAATGGAAGTGGTCTATAGCTGTTAAAATTCTTTTTGTCGATGGAACACGCGTTCCCATTATACCTCGGAAGGGAATAAAAAGTATTTTGAGGGATGGAAAAGTCGTTAAAATACATGATGTAGTGCAGGTATGGAAATGGTAGTAAAATACTTTCTTTTCCTTTTCTTTCCCGCCCGTTTCATGTTTATGCTATTGCAGATTTCCTATTCTGTTCTCAATGATGGTCTATACTTTTGCTTTATTTTGCTTCTATTTCATTCTAACGTACTATCTTAAAGGCAGTCAAAGTGCCCCTGTGCAAAAATATAAAATAAATTTTGTAATTCGATATCCTTTTCAAATTCCCCCCCCCTACTATTAGTTTACGCTCTCCCTATATACATATATATAATATAAAATCCATAAATATATACAAATATCTATAAAACCTAACTGGTCACAATAGTATATATATATATATATATATATATATCTTGTTCAAATTTTCAATCGTTTATAAAATACTTTCTATTCATTTATTCAAGTTCAAATAGATATTTTTAAACTCTTAGTGGATGACACTTGATGTTAATGCAGCTCTTTCAAATATTTATTCATTAATTAATTCAAAAACAAATAATTAGTAACAAAAAATAATGGTCCAACAGCATATATAGAAAATAAAATCACTTTCGATGTGTCCCTGTAGTGCAATGGATAGCGCGTTGAACTTCTAATCCAAAAAGGTTATGGATTCAAACACCCCACCTGGGATGACCTAATTTCTGAGAATGTGATTTCTTGTTGACTATACTATTTTATTTGATGAATTAAATTCAAGTATTGTGTGTGTGAATGAATAGTAACAAACAAACAAAAATATAGTCTAACACCTAATATAGAAAGGAAAATCGCTTTCTATTTTGCCACTTAATATTGCAATTTTGTCCTATGTATATACCTATTTATATTAATTGTAATTATTCAATAAAAAGTAACTAAAGTAAAGTTTTTCTGTGTTGACCTAAGTAGGAATTGACTTAATCTTTTTTTATATTACTTATTAAGCTTAAGGTTCAATATCTAGAATAATAAACTATCAAGAATTTGAAAAGAGTACAGAAGATATCAAGTATTTAGATGGGTGCATTTTCTTTACCTGTGAGCGTTTGTCTCTGTTATGCTTTCATTTTTGGCATAACCTCGTTTAGAGGCGCATTGTCCATTGCCGGAATCACATTTCAACATACTCTTAAGTGTTCCATTTTCTTCTTATTATTATTTTTATTTTATTTTATTTATTTTTTTTTGAATTTCGAAAAGATATAAATTCCGTCGATACTCATTTAATTTTTTTTTATATGAGTATAAACTTAGTAATCCTGCTGCAAAAGCTACACGCAATAAAAACCAGGCATTGGGGAAGAATACCGTTAACCATCGAAAAGAATAGTGCTAGTTTGAAAATTTTCGGTCTCGTGATTTTTTCCTACCCAATGAACCACGTGGAAAACCGAAACATTTGTGGAGAAACGATGCACGGGAAGTTGGGTGGAAACGAATCTGTGTCTATTGTACTACCTGAACATTTGTATAATGCATGACAAATTAAAAATGATATGTCCCATCACTTATTAATTTTCAGGGTCCAATACTTCTCCACAACAACGCTCGGCCGCATAAATCGTACAAAACAACTGTGAATTAAAATAGGTCGGCCTCCAACTTATTCACCGGCTTTTTTTCATTTTCTCAAAAGATTTTACAACAATTTTACGTGCAAAACAGTATGAAAATGAAGACAGTCTGATATTAGACTGTATTAATACTAAAAGTAAGAATTTCTTTAAGACAGGCATCTATGCATTAAAATCTCCATTAGAAAGGTTTATTGAAGCAAATGGAGCCTATTTTCATTACATAAACAGCCTTTAAAAAAATTTTGTTATATACATTCACACAAAAATTCGACATTTCATTCGCAGAATTTAATAATTCACGCAAATTTAACGCATAATATGGTACTGTTAAAATGATCATATCAGGAAAGAAATCCCTCTGATTTGAATAGCAGTAAAAAGATATAAAATCTCTCTTTTTATTAAAATGGAATATAATGGGGGTGAGCCATTAGCTCCCCGCGAAGACAGAAAACGGAATTGGCAGAGAGAGTTCTCTGTATCTGGGACGACATAGATCGAATGGACTCGAATCTAAGCAGAATTTTTTCCCCCCAATGTTCAAAATTGGGCGCGGCGTAGAACCGAAGGTAGAACAATTCGTTGGATGGGGTAAATGGAACCTAGTACTCACGTTTCGAGCAAGTGCAGTGCGCATCTAAAAGTTTTTGAATGCTGGTAAAATAAATGAATTATTTATTCATTAGTTTTCATTTTAATTTTTTAAAATTTCTTAATTATCGATAAACCATTTTGCTCTATTTTTCCTTTTTCCCCCACAAAAATTTGTTATGAATTAGGGGTGCGATGGGGGCTTAGATTCGAATCCACACGGGCAACATTTTTCTTGCATGAAGATCAACAAGAGTGAATAGAGAAGGCTGAGATTCACCTGCACAATTTCAACATGCCTTCTCACTCCTGATTTCAAAACTGTTGTTGAAAACTGTGATTGTCTCTTAAAACGCGTTCTGAAATAAAATGCGCTTGCAGCTCTGGATATGAAATGAACCCAATAAATAAATTGACCACTATTTTAACTTAATAACATCATGGGAGGCTCTAGAGCTGGACAAACCGGAACTCTGCCCGGGGCGGCAAATTTTAAGAGCGGCATTTGGATCAAATTTGAAAAATATTTTTATTTTGTTAAAAAGAATTTGACATATTTTCTGAAATATTATTGGGTGTGAATTTGGTACTTCATTTAACGTATCTTACTTTTTTATTTTGTACTCTGTCTATTTAATGACAGTTTTCTTTTATGTTGAAACTTAACGGGTTCGAGGTGGGAGTATATGTTAAAACATGAACTTTAATATGTTTACACATCTTTCATTAGTAACTTTCTCCCCATCCTGGAGTGACGTCACAACGGACATTTCTTTCACCCTTACGATGTCCGGTTTCAGCTGTCCAAAAGAGGACAAAGGTAATAAGAGGTTTTGGTAGATAGAAAGAAGCCACAGGAGAGGTTTTACTTTAGCCTTGAGTGTGTAGTTACTATAAGTTAAAACAAACGCTTGTGATCCCCACCATTAGTAGACTACTTTTCGAAGAAATTGGCCTGCTTAAATAGACGATTCCTTCTCTTTCATTTCACTGGTTTGAAATAATAACAAGTAATTATGTTCTTGATTTCGAATTATTTGAATTCTTTTAAGACTTAAAATAATATATGTATAAAAAGAGAAAGAGAGAGATGGACGGGATTTTCCATTTTTGCCTGGGGCGGCAAAACTGTTAGAGCCAACCCTGCTAGCTTTGATTCTTATGGTACAATGGATACTTTTTGAAATGCAGAATAAGTAATGAATGCGATCATTTTAAAAAGGTGCGGCCTTCCAGTACCTTCCACTTCCACAATGGGGCAAGACATTAGCCCTAACCCCAGGAATAACAAACACGAAAATGTTTGTTAAATGTGGTAAATTGAATCAAAATAATTACAATACGTGTTAATTATTAAAGAATCCATTTTTTTCATTCGAATTATGACTCGGAGGGGGGGAGATATTCTTCTATAAGTCTGTTATCAATTTTTAGTACAAGCTTCTAATGTAAGCTACAGAAATAAAACAGAATTTCAACTTTGTCATTGTTCAAAAAGGAGTATTTTTTAAAATAAAAGAAGCACACAAACATAACCATTGATGTTCACCAGGGATAACACAACCACTGTTTGTATAACAAATGTCTGGTTTATATCCCCAAACCATTTCCACGTATATACACGCATTTCCTTTTATTCTTCTGTCCTTATTGCATCTTCCTGTTTATTTACGTATTCAAAAGTCACTGATGTCAGGTGATCTCTAATGTACCCATTCAATATTTATACGACTCGTAATCTATGTTGTTTCCGTCTGGGAGGCGGAGAAGGAAAAAGATCGCCAAACAAAAATTAATCTCGCCAAGAGAAGAGCTCCCATAAAAATAGGTCCCAATTGCCAGAGGAGTGGGAAGGGAAAATGGGAAAGCTCCTAAATTCAATTTGTTGGCTGGGGCGTTCGTCTTTAAGTACTTACATTTCTCAACCTACGACCAGGTACCCCGTGCACGTGCTAGGAGGGTAGGCACTACCCTTGTGGGGGATGTTCACCTATCTAAGGATCTTCTTGTAGGTCCAAGGGCTTGCAAAAGTTTAACTGTTCTTTCTTAATAAAACTTAAAGTATCGTGTCCGAACAGGGTTAAATACTTCTACAGAAATAAAAATTTTTAAAAAAGGCATTATGTGCATATTTAGAAAAGTATTTAAATTAAATTTGAATGAACAAGAAAAAAAATCCATTCAATCGAAATATAAAGCATAGGAATTATTAATTAATATGATTTTGTAATTTGTGGAATAAATTATCCACAAAACTGTGAAGTAGTGATCTGTTTTATTTCTTCTCAGATCTCTCTCTAAAACCTTACTTAGAATAACCCGAAGGCCAAATTTTAAAATAGATTTTAAGCAATAAATGATGATTTTTACTGGTTTTTATTCAACAAAATTCCAAATAATTTTTCATACAAATGATAAACTACTATGATAAACAATATTTATGCGTATGGTTACCAAATTTGCGTTAATATTTTCCTTTTTTTTTCTGTTCTCAATGAACATATTATGTGTGTACAGATAAATAACGTTATACACAAATTAGAGCATCAGATTAAGTTTCACATTCCTTTTGCATCTAAAATCCAAAGTTTATGATTATATATATAATGTATATAAAGATTAAATCATTCTTTAGTTATGACTTGTTTTGCAAAATTATCCTAAAATTATATTTACCCAAAAAACTTGATGTTATTAGATTAGTAATATTGTCTTAACACTTTGAGAAATCAAATAGTTTTTTTCCCAGTGGGATGGAATTTTAGCAACTTAGTCTTTGCGCAGACACAGCAAGTCCCCAAACGTGAAAGCCATTTCCTGGTGACACCATCTAGTGGAGGCATCAATACCAAATTTGGATGCTTGAATTAAATTTTTTTAATTCAAGCTCTCGCGTCTCGGATGCTTAATATTACAGTGATTTAATTTTGCCGAGAGTGCCAGAGCTAAATTGATACTCAAGGTATTTTTTACATGTCACATAATCATATGACATGCGTGCCCACGATTTTCGTATCCAGAAAATCTGTCGACTCCAGTCGGGGTCGAACCCACAACCTTGGGCTTGCGAAACAGGCATACTACCTCTAAGCCACCAGAACCGACGAAATTAAGCAGTGAAATATCAAAAGTTTTACCAGAACTGAGTATAGTTGTGGATGCGCATAGTAAGATATTTTCGTGTTTCTCGGTAAACTAAATAAAAATTATTATTTACCCCTAAATTTTCTGATTTAAAAAAATTAGCGATTTTGTTCTAACATATAGTCTTATCCCGAAAAAATTATTGCTCTCGATCAGGTTACCTTTCTCAAGAATATTGTTCATTTTCAGGGAAGAAAGAATAATTTAAACTTTTAATGAAACAAATATTTATATATATAAAAAAAATGTAGTATTTTAAAAGCGAGTATTTGGTTTCTTTTTTCTCTTTATTTACTCTGCTTAATGGGAAATTTAAAATCGTAAATGTATGTAATGCATTC